ATCGGGGAGGGGGAACTGGTTTGTTTCTCCTTAAAGGTATCGTATCGTGTGGGGAGGAAGCGCGGGGAGCGGGCGACAGTGGAGGCGCCGTTTGAGTGCCTGCCTCGGTGTGTGTCTGTCCTGGAGGAGGAGGTACGTACGGGTTTAGAGTGCCACGCCGCCCGAGCGACGCGCCCGCCGTGAGAAGGGGACGGAGTGACAGCGACAAAAGGAGACAATAACCGGGACGCGGCGCACCGTTGCGGCGCCGCGTCACAGGAGAGCGAGAACAGAGCGGGGAAGAGAAGGCGTCGTTGACACTCGGGGGCGCCGCGTGACAGCCGAGCAGCGGGTTTGGGACCGCGGCGGGGCGCGACGGGTGCCGGGTGCCAGGCCTCTCGATTGAGCCGTCGCTCCGCCTCGACCCGCGTCGGGCTGTAAGCCGGGGAGAGGCGTTTGGCTGGTTTGGCTGTTTGTCCAGTCGGGCTGGCGGGGCGGGGCGGGGCGGGCAGGTCGAGGGCGGTATCGAACTCGGCCCCGCACCCTCCGCGCCCCGCGCGCGCCCTCAGCAACCGCAAACGTTTATTCAGCGTTGAATAATTCAATATGGTTGACACGTAGTGAGTGAGAGCGAGAGAGACAGACCGACAGATATACGTGGTTGTGCTGCGGGGCCTGGTCCGGTCGCTATACTGCAGCGGGATCAGCAACAGCGATACAGGAGCCGCTGTCTCTCTCTTTCATCAAGGGATTGCTGTGACACTCGTGTTACGCTTGCCTCTCTCGGCCTATCAACCCAGGAAATTGTCGCTCGTTCACGTGTCACCTCCTTTCTCTCGTGTGTGTCTCTCTCATTCTCTCATCCTCGCTTTTCTCTCACTCTTTTCCCTCTATTCCCGCTTCTTTCGTGCGACGCCGTCCTTCTTCCGTCTCTATTCACTTTGACGTCCCATAGTTCCTTGCGATGTGCGCGAGGGAGCAGCCCGCTCGCCCGGCCGATAGTCACCTGAGCCCCCCTTCTTCCTCCCCCCTCCCCTTACCCTTCAATGGCCTCATCCCCACCGCCTCATCCCCGCCCCATTCGCCCACAACTTTTCAGCCGCCAAAACAGTCACCCCCTCCCCTCCCCCCAGAGGCAACGGGCCCCCACGGTGGACCGCGCCGCACACATATTTTTCATATCGTGTCTCTTTTTTTTTCAGTCTTTTTTTATTTGTTATTGATACAAAACAAAAGTTGCGCTGAATGCGGTGCGCCGCGCTCGGGCACGTCCCGACATTGCGGAAGCTATACAGTTTTCCATGATGAACTTCACGAGACCTGCAATTTCAAGTAGCGAAAAAATGAAATGAAAATAGAGCGGTTAAATATACACCTGCACACTGGGGCTATAGGAGCTTCGATCTGCGTGTGGGCCGAACTCTGCACTCTCTTTCTCTCTCCTGCCCTCCCTTTCACTCATACACGCACAATGTTCACCCCATCCGGGGGAGGAAAAAAAAGCCACCTGGTGCGTGCACGCGGGGGATGATGAGAAATTCTCCCGCCACTGTCGAAACCAGCGCATAAATATTAGACACCCTACCGCTCGGCGGGAAACGTGGAACATGGTGGCATTATTAGGAAAAGAGCGAAGACCGAGTCGGGCAACGCGGACGGCGCCGCCACAAGCTGCGCTCATATAAGCCCGGGGTGGGAC